CTTTTTCTTCCTATATGAAATTCTTGTTGAGTACTTTTATTTGATGAAAAAATTTCAATTATCATTTTTTTTATCAGCAAAATAAATGAGATTTGATTAGATAGAGTACAAGGGGTACTCCAACCCAAATACAAACTAGTTAAATAGTCTAACCAAGATACCAATTCTCAAGAAACATTTAAACTGAAAAACCAATCACCCTACTCAGCATGCTCTCCATTTTTTTGCTTACGGAACTCCCTCAGCAGGCTTCTATTCTTCCTTATGGCAGCAGCACATTCCAGTGGATGAAATTGCCAATCAAATAACGAGAAAACACTTCCAGCCACCTTATTTTTGATCCACAAAAACGTTTTGGACTGAATCATATGGAGCAAACCGTCCCTACACTCCCCTTTGTTCTGGAAAACTCTAATGTTCCTCCAATACCAAATATACCAAGACCCAACAAGGAAAAGACAGGCCCCTAGCTCCCTCCCTACCAGACCTCCCAACTCATACAAGAAAAACTCCATCACCCCTCCCACTGTATTAGGCATCACAACCTACATACCCCACCAAGAAATCACTTGAACCCAAATTAACCAGACTTCATCACATAAACAAAATAAATGATTACACTCCTCTTCCTCTTTAGTGCACAAACCACACCTTAAATCTTCTACCAACAAATTAATCCCTCTTTTTTCTAGATTTCTTTTTGTTGGGAGTCTGTCCAAACATAATCTCCACCCAAAGAAACTAACTTTTGAGGGTACTAATTTACACCAAATCAACTTACAAATTTGATCAGGAAGAATGGACTCCATTGGTGACAGAAACTCATAAGCCTTCTTCACTGCGTATCTCCCTTCTGCATCATGCATCCATTTCCAGCAATCTTTGCGGTCTTCCATGATTTGTACTCTGCTTAGCACCTCCCACAGCACCACCTCCTCACCCCTCTCTCGACCCAACCTTTCTCTTCTCCAGTCAATATTCCATCTCCATAAGCCCCTTTCCCACACCCCCATTTCACAAACCATACCGTCCTTTTTCAAAGCTAGCTCAAATAACCTAGGACATAAATCCCTTAAAGATTTATCCCCCACCCAAACCTCATGCCAAAAACCTACCCGCCTTCCATCTCCAACCATCCACCTAAACCCCTTCCCTAATATGTCTTGTAATTGGATAGATTTTCCCCCGACACTAATAACATCCCTCCAAATCCTAGACACCCTCACACTATCTACTGCCCTGATGTCCACCTCCCTCCGACCCCCATAATATTTATCCCAGACGACCTGTTTCCATAGGCTCTCACCACCATCACCCAACCTAAACCACCACTTCCCTAAAAGTGCCCAATTCCTCCTCCTCAAATCCGTGACTCCTAGCCCACCCTTCTCCTTACTACGACACACCATCTCCCAACTAACCCAAGGAATCTTCCTCTTTAATTCAGCCCCTCCCCACAGAAAATCCCTCTGTATTCTAATCAACTCAGACACCACGCAATTAGGTGCTAAAAATAAAGACATATAAAAAATAGGTAAGGAAGAGAGTACCGAATTAAGCAGAGTAATGCGGCCACCAAAGGACAGCAAAGCAGATTTCCAGACGGCAAGCTTGGTTCAAAATTTATTCAACACTGGGTCCCACGACTTCTTAGTCCCAGGGTTTCCACCCACAGGCATTCCCAAATATACAAAAGGTAGCTTCCCAACACCACATCTCAAAACAGTTGCTGCTCCATTTAACCATCTCTGTGCCACATTAAATCCGACAATACTACTTTTACAAAAGTTGATTCGCAGTCCAGACATCAATTCAAACCATCGTAAAATGGTTTTCACGGTAAAAATATTCTCTCCATTTGCTTTTCCCAAGATCACCATATCATCCGCAAATTGGAGCAAAGAAATAGTCAGTCCCTTGCTACCCACATCGATTCCATGTAGCAGGCCCTCTGTCTCAGCTTTTTTTACTAGACCATGTAACCCCTCGGCAATCATCAAAAACAAGAAAGGGGAAAAAATTTCAATTATCATTTGTATAAATTGTTAAATTTTCATTTGAAATTCATGTATGCAAAGTCCAAAAGTTAAATTAGATTTACTAAAAATT